ACGGGGAGTTACACACAGATTGTGGAGAGTTGTCGAATTGTTTATTAACTCGAAAAGAAGAGAGAAAAAAGAGAAAATAGATAAAAGTCATTGCACAAAGTAGTGAAGTTGTTGTTGTTGCTGTTATTTGTAATAAGTAACAAAAACGCACAATTATAAATAGAAATTCTGCAGAAAACTAAAGGCCTTATTATTTCATAAGTTTTATATTAGTGTTTCTTAAAATAAAAACATAATTCGATAAAATTTTGCAAAAACAATAATCTAACAAGTCATTGGTTTTGGTTTTGTTTTTCATTAGCAGTTGGCAAAAACAAAAAAAAAAAAAGAAACAACAAAGTGACTGACTAATAAAGTGCTATTAAGAAAATACAGAAAAAAAAAAACGTGTAAAACAAAAAGAAAGAAATAAAAAAACAGCAACAAAATACGATAAAACCAGAAATAGTTTGTCGTTTCATAGCAAAATTAAAAAATAAAGAAAAAACAGCTGAAAAAAAATTAGACACGGCAACAAACACTTAAATAAACATTAATAAAGAAGCCACTTAACAACAACAAAACTAACAGCATTTAAGAGCTAAATACAATAACAACACTAAAGTGATTACCCTGACAAATGTTAAATTTGTTTCAAAATAATAAAAACAAAGAAGCAGAGTTGCAAATGTTAACACAAGCAGTTAAAGGAAAATATCGTTAATTTTAAAAAATTAAAAGCAAAAAACAAATTAATTTATTATAAAAAATATAAAAAATCTTGCTCTAAAGAAATTATACTACAATGTAAACTGTTAAAACAAATTTAAATTTATAAAAAAAAATTCATTAAATCTTTGTAATAATTACAAGTGTAATAATTTGACAGACAAAACCTCAAATCATATGTATTTTTGACATTGACTTTTGTTTCCCCCCCTGAATATAAACAATCTCAATTTTTTTTATAAACTGAACAAAAAAAAATCAAATAAATTCCTTTAAAATTAAATTTTCTATCACGATTAAGAGCAAAATTATTAGTAACGGCGCTCTAATTGTTTGAGAGTAAGCGACGCTGTGTTTTATTTCCTTTTTAATCTGCCATTTCGTAAATATTAATCGAAAACAAACACACAACATCCCCTATTATACCGTTATTTTTATGCTGTTTTCAGTTTAAAAACAAGTTGCCACCCTTTTGATATATAAATGTTAAAACAACCACACGAATACTTAATAAACTTGTTTAAAAATTACAAACTTTAAACAAAAATTACCGAAAAAAAAGTTACTTAATAATTTGTTAACTCAACTAGTGCTAACGGCGCGGATTTCTGAATTCCCCTCCACATTATTAAAATTCATTTGAAGTATTTGGAATTTATTACAATTTTTGCGGGTAAGTGTTTAAACAAATTTTTTAATAACAATCAAATGTCAATAGTAAAACAGTAAATTTGTATAAAAAAAATCCGTTAAATCCCCATAAATATAAAGAAATGGGTTAGAAATTTGTAATAAGTCCCAAATTTATATTTCTTCAAAACTTGTAAGTTAAATAGATGATGTTTACATATAATATATGGCTCAAAGATTACTGATGAGGAGCTGTAGCTGGCCCGAAAATATATTCCATTCTGCTGTTGTCTTAAAAATAACTTTTTCTTTATTCAAAAAAGCCATTACAATTTGAAAGAGTAATTAAAGAAGAATGTTTCTGTCAAAGGCTGGGATTCTGACTTGATCAAATTAATTGTAAAAATTTAAGTTTAAAGTATTAATTTAAATGTAAAATATTTATATTTAAATCGAATCAAGGAAAGAAATTATCATTGGCAATCTCCTAATGAGCTATTAGCTTATTATCTTGTTTATCAAAACTTTTCGAAAAGTATTCCAAGGAAAATTATAAGATACTTAAATAAAACATTACATGCGTTTCTATAATCTCCCCGATTTCTTGGGACAAGAAGAATTACAAAAAGTTTAGTATACAGGCTATTACGTCAAACGAAGCTCTGGATATTCTCCTAATAGAAAAATATGAGTCGGCACTTACAGCCAAAAGGCTCTCAGAAATGTCATCAAGGTATATTGGACCCATTGGAAGGCTATACATACATGTGTAAACGTCGGGCATGCTCTATAGCACATCAGAGACAGAATATGTCGGGAACTTTGAGGCACTCAAACCAGAAAAGAATATTTAGGCGAATTGACTTTTCGAGAAAGTATTCCAAGGAAAATTATAAGATTCTTAAATAAAAAAACATAACTTACGTTTCTATAATCTTCCCGATTTCTTGGAACAAGAAGAGTAATATAAAACAATTACAAAAAGTTCAGTATACAGGCTATAAGAGAGACTACGTCAAACAAGGCTCTGGATATTCTCTCAATAGAAAAATATGAGTCGGCACTTACAGCCAAAAGGCTCTCAGAAATGTCATCAATGTATATTGGACCCATTGGAAGGCTACACATATGTAAACGTTGGAGCATGCCCGATAGCACATCAGAGACAGAATATGTCGGGAACTTTGTGGCACTCAAACCAGAAAGGCGAATTGACTAAAGTCGGTTTCAAGAAACGTCATCAATGTATATCGGACCAATTGGAAGGCTATACAAAAACATCGAACATATCAGAGACAGACTATGCGGGAAGTTTGAGACACTAAAACCAGATAAAATATCAAGGTCACGCGGATCATAAGAGCAAATATCTATAGAAATCTATGCCTCTAAAGTGGAAGATAAATCGGAAGATAAAATACCGCCTAATTAATCACAACTCTAACTTTCTGACAGAAATCCATAAGATAACGGAATATATAAACTGAATGAGATAAATATGGCACTAATAGAGGATAACATGCTAACCGA